TCAAATGAACATTTATTAGTTATGGAGGATATCTGGACACAGTTATAGGCAGAGGAGAAGGATACAGTGGGTAGATACTGCTGGAAAAAACAATATATTATTGTATAGCAATTTTAAATGAGAGAAACCATGGCAAAGTGGATACAGAACTGGACATGTACACACATACACACACACACACACACACACACACACATGCATTGGGAGCTAGAGTTAAAAAGTGGGATCAGTTCAGAAAACAGGCATTTATTAAGTACCTGCTATTGTACCAGGAACTCTGCTAAATTCCAGGGATACAATGAAAGGGGGAAAAAGTCAAGAAGACCTGGATTCAGTCAGTCAGCCAATTAACAAACACTTATTAAAAGTACCTAATTTGTGCCAGGCATTATGCTGAGTGTCAGGGATACAAAGAAAGGTTGTATTCTTTGTTCTCAAGGAGTTCCAGTCTCTTCCATTAGGAAGAGAAAACATACAAACTACCATGCAAAAACAAAACAAACAACAAAAAAACCCAATACAAACACACTAAAGAACCATATACAAAATAAATTGGGAGTAATCAACAGAAGGATAGCACTAGAATTAACAGGGATCAGGAAAGGCTTCCTGTGGAAGGTGAAATTTTAGCTGGGACTTGAAGAAAGCCAGAGAATTCAGGAAGTTAAGAAGGAAAATATTCCTTACATAGGAGCAGTCATTGAAAATGTCTAGAGTTGGGAGATGGAGTGTCTTGCTTGAATAATAAATAGGAGGCCCAACACAATGTTTGGGATGAGGCGTAAGGTGAAAAAGCACTGAATATGTGAAGAGGCATGCTGTGAAGGGTTTTGAACACCAGAGAGTTAAATATTTTATCTTGGAGGTGATAAGGAACTGCTAGAATTTATTGAGTGGGGGAGTGACATGATCAGACCTGTACTTTAGGAAGGTCACTTTGACAATTGAATTTAGGATGGACTGGAATGGGGAGACGTTTATGGCATAGAGACTAACCAATAGGCAATCGCAATTAACTAGGCACAAGGTGATGAGAGCTTGCACACATCGTGGCTACATGACCTTGGGAAAGTCTCTTAATTTCTCGGTGCTCTAGGAAACATTCAATACTCTAAGTTTCACAGAATGGATCAACCTACATTGGTAGAGAAAAAAAAATTTCAAATGAAAGTCAAATGAAATTCCTCTTCAAGCTGTACTTCCAACCTTTTAGACTTCAGTAACATGCCTCAGCTTCAGTGTCACCCTGGAACTTCACTCAGTGTCTGAGGTCTCTTCATCCTGCAACATCCTCCCACCACATCAGCCTCACTCTCTCATTTCAAGTTCCTCTCAGGGCCTCCATTTTGGAGAGGGCGCAGCTGAGTCAACCTTCATTCCCTTACTGGCTGCATTTTTTACTTTCAACACCATGCCTTTTGGTGGAGCTACTTACCCTCACAGGCAAGAATTAACTTTCTTTTGGCTTGTATTTGCATCCCTAAGACTTAGCATAAAGCCTGGCTTAATAAATGCTTGTCCCTTTACCCTGAAACCAATGAAATTACAGGCCTGGCAGATACCCTATCTCTTAGTTAAATTTGCTAAGTTTTCAGATATTTATCTCTTTTGATCTTCCTGATAACCCTGCAAAGGTGGTATCATCATTCCTATATTACATGTAAAGACGGGTAGGTGAAGAGGGCAAATGATTTGGACAAAGTCAAGTCAATTCAAGTCAAAAAGCCTTATTTAGGACTTGGATATGTGATCAGCTTTTCATTAAGCACTAGCTTCAAAATTAGGACAAGAGACTAGGGTCTGTGATTCTTATTTTAGGGCTTTTAATATTATACTATTTATATAATTCTGATCATGGAAAATGCTAGTATTCAAGGATGCTTTTGCCTTTCTGTGCTACCTAATTGATTCAGGGGTAGATTGTGTCATCTCACTAGTCAAATAAGAGAGAAAAATCACACAGGCATGGCTTATGTATGGTATTGACTAGACACTTAAACCTCTAGCTATATTTCTGGAATTCTATATTTTGATGACTGTGACTTTAACCCATCCAAAGAGGAAATAACAATCATTCTTACCTATTTGAAAACTTAGATATAATATACATTCTTATTCAGATACCTGTTCCTGTAAGTGGATACTTAAAGGAGACTATATAGCTGATTATTCTCTAAATGTACTTTAGGACCTCTGGGAATGGAATTTTAATACTATTTTAACTTTATCCTATTATTTTATTAATAGCATTCTATATTATTTCTTAATAATTTAAATTAGCTATATTGTTTGATTATTACTATTTTTATTAATAGCATTCTCTCCAGTGGCATATTAATTATTTAGCCAAATGAAATATTGAGGGGCAGCTAGGTGATAAAGTGCCAGGCCTGGAGTCAGGAAGACTCATCTTCCTGAGTTCATCTGGACTCAGACACTTACTAGCTGTGTGATCATGGGCAAGTCACTTAACTCGGTTTGCCTCAGTTTTTCTCATCTCTAAAATGAGCTGGAGAAGGCAATGGCAAACCACTCTAGTATCTTTGCCAAGAAAACCCCAAATGGGGTCACAAAGAGTCAGACATGACTGAACAATAACATATGAAACATCATGAAAACCATGACGTTGCTTTAGGAATTAGAAGGGTAAAGTTCGTTGTGCTATTTTCCTTGGACTATTTACATATCAAATATAATTTTCTACATTCTTATTTTTTAAAAAATGAAGTGGGTTATGAGTTGGAGGCATACGATAATCCTGGGGCAAGTCTTCTTATCAAAGCATATTTTCGGTTTGGTAAGTGCAGAGAGAATAAGTGATATATTATTGGTTTTGAAGTTCATTTTCTTTGGAAATCATTACAAAGTACCTGAAATTATTCAGGAGCTCACTGAAATTGTGAGTATATCAGGGTATCTACATTTTAACTTTCATAAAAGAAAAGGCTCTTTAAATGAAAAAGGAGATAGATGACACTCAAAGACAATCATGGAGAAATCATCGGAAATCTAGGAACAGAACAAGAAGAGATCAGCAACACAAAGTAAGTCAACAGGCATTTTACAGTGTTTACTATGTGGTAGACACTGTGCTATGTTCCGGGCATACGGAGAGAATAACAATTCTTGTCTCAAGGAACTCAAGTTCTAATGAAGGAAACAAATACATACATTCAAGAAATACACAAAGTTAATTGGAGGTAACTGTTGCAAAAGGGAAGAGAGAGAAGGAACAAGCATTCACCAAGAACCAAATACATGCCAGGAACTATGCTAAGTGCTTTACAAATATGACTTCATTTGGTGTCACAATAACCCTGTGCAATAGGTCATGTTTATTATCCTCATTTTATAGTTGAGGAAACAGGCAGCTAGATGTTAAATGACTTTTGAGGTCTATTCTTATTGTTGTTCAGTAGATTTCTCTTCATGACTCCATTTGGGGCTTTCCTGGCAAGGATACTGGAGTGGTCTACCATTTCCTTCTTCAGCTCATTTTTTGCTGATGAAGAAACTGAGGTAAACAGAATTATGACTTGCCCAGGGTCACACAGCTAGTAAGTATTTGATGCCAGATTTGAATTCAGGGAGATGAGTCTTCCTGACTCCATTCTTGACACTGTATCCACCACATTACCTAGCTGCCGTTCTTATGGCTAGAACGTGTCTGAGGCCAAATTTGAACTCATGCCTTCTCGGGGCAGCTAGGTGGCGCAGTGGATAGAACACTGGCCCTGGATTCAGGAGGACCTGAGTTAAAATCCAGTCTCAGACACATAACACTTACTACCTGTGTGACCCTAGGCAAGTCACTTAACCCCACTGCCAAACCCAAAAAGAAAAAAAAGAAAAAAGAAAAAGAAAGGAAGAGAAAAGAAAAAAATGAACTCATGTCTTCCTGATTCCATTTCCAGTGTACTTATCCACTGCACCACCTAGCTGCCTTAGCATATCATAGAGACAGGGTGTGGTCACTTGATTTAAAAAGCTGCAGATAAGTCAAGAATTATGAGGACAAAGAATAAGTCATTGGAATGAAAATGGAAAACAATGAAAAAAAAGCAGACCGATTAATTGTAATTATCAATCTTAATTCTAGAGAACAAATGTTAAATAAATATATATGTATGTATATATACACACTCATACACATATACACACATATTATATATACACATATCTATATAGTAGGTATATATATTTGTGTGTATATATACATATATGTATATATGTGTATATATATGCGTACATACATATATACATGCATTGATTTTCTAGGATAAAGAAATATACACACAGACATATCTATCTATCTATCTATCTATATGTGTGTATACACACATACATACTTATATTTTATATTTGTAAAATTTCTCTCCTGCCAATACAAAAGAGAAGAACTATGGATACAAAACAAAGCATATGCTGTTAGATATAGTAATTATGTCAGTTGATTTTGCTTAACTGTTTGTCTTTGTTGCGCAGGAGGATTTAGTGGGGTAGTTTATTGGGAAATAACCATGTGCTAAAATAAGAGGTCTCAATAAATCCTGAAAAGATAAAATACATAGAAAATGTCTATTTTAATTTGATCTTTATTTGTAAGAAACTCACTTAAATTCAATACTAAACATATACCAAGATAATAATATGTCAGATAATAATATCTGACATGGTACTACAAAGTTTGTAAAGGGCTTCACACAGATGTCATTGGAGGTAGTAGAAATTAAAAATAAGGAAGAGACAGAGAATAGAAGTAAAAAATTGCCCATCCTCAAGGAAATACATTTTTAAATTTCGATGAGTTGTTTAAGAATATACTTACTTTATATCATTTTTCAATTTTAGTCTTGAAAATACTCTTGGTTACATTTTGGTTAAAAAAATTGCACATACATTATGCAGATCCTCTCCAAGTGGGATAGTTCTGTGCTTCTGCCATGGGAGCAGGTGGTCGAAGGTTGTTTTGATGAGGTTACAAAGCTCCTCCCCTCTTTCCCCAAGCAGCAGTCCAATGTACGTCAGCAGTAATTGTATGCCTTACACTGCTGTACAGTGAGGGAGAATGTAAAAGACATATCAAAAAGAGGTATCAAACTGAGACCTAGATGTTCCTTTTCAATGATTGCTCATTTCCATGAGCCATGCATGGGATAAAGGTTACAACTTACACATTCTCACATATTTACTTTTGTTGTTTTCATATCCTTCCTATCAACAGACACTGGATTGGGGGTATAGTTGTTATGAAGACTCTTTATTTCTTTTTCTTTTTTTCCTCTTCTTTATTTTTTCACTGGATTATTTGCTAATCAGACTTCAGTGCAGGCAAGATAAAAGAGAGAAAATCTGTTGCCTAAATAGGAGGCTTTTAATGAGGATGTGAGCCCCTGGGAGCTGGATTCTGAAGTAGAACGATGCTGCCTGCTGTTCCTCTTGTCATTTCTTCAGTTGCTTCTTTCCCCTTTTCCAATGGGCCTAGTAAGCAGGAACTATCCAAGGTACTAGGATGCTGGAAGCTTTGCTTTTGAATGCAGACGGTTTGCAGAAACAGAGAAGAAACAGATTACTGCTTATTTCAGAAGGTAGGCTCTTTGTTTCAGAATCCCTGATTAATCAACAGTAGCATCCACAGACTAAAGCAGCTGGAGAGAGAGAAAAGGAAAGGAGAGGGGAATAGGGAGAGGGAGGGAGGAAGGGGAGAGAGAGAGAGAGAGAGAGAGAGAGAGAGAGAGAGAGAGAGAGAGAGAGAGATGGGGGGAGAGAGAGAGAGAGAGAGGAGAGAGAGAGAGAGAGAGGGGAGAGAGAGAGAGAGAGAGAGAGAGAGAGAGAGAGAGAGAGAGAGAGAGAGAGAGAGAGGCAGGCAGAGGCTGCCGGTTGTCACGGGGGAGGGACGATGCCACAAGCTAGACTGCTTCAAACCTTCTGTATCTAAGTGGCAATGAGAAAGAACATCTTTTTGGCTGGGAGAAGCCATTTGGATAGGATGTTTTTTATTCCTTGTTTTCATTTATTTTTGTCTCTGCAGAATCTATTCAAATGAGGCACCTAAGCAAACCCGGGTGATTGCATTTGGTATTGTAATCATCTATGTGGCAAAGTGGGTAAAAATCATCCAATTTCTTCTCTGCTGGACCTCAAATCAGAGGGTTGTGTGGGTGTACCCATCCATTAGCTATGCCCTCTTTTCTCTGAGTGTTGATTTAAAGAAGCAAGTACCTGTCTTCTTCTGCCACGGCATTTTACTGGGAAAACTTTAAAGGCTATTCTATCTGATAGGAAGAAGATCAATAAGATACTGATCTCTAGTGATGAAGAATCTGATAGTATGGACACTTTTGCCATCCAGATATAATGCACTTTAACTGAAGAAAAAAACTGAGCTGAACTACAAGTCTGTTTCTTATGGTGCTGGAATACTCCTGCAGACTGCACTGAGATAAAGCACGGGAAAGGGCTTTGACAGACACAAGTCACCTTTTGATTATTGCACTTAGCTGTCCCTGGGGACTTAAATTTTGGTATGTATCTCATTTTTCACATTCTCTAAGCATGCTAATTGATCCCTGTGCTCATTAAATTGAGTAATCTGCTTATAAAATGGCATGGATTTTAGCCAGGGATACTTAATGCTGAAGTTTGCATGTCTTTTGAAGTGAGCAGAAATCAAGCATTGCTAAGCCATTAAATGTGGTAAAATTCTACAGACTATTTTGTATATCCTTTCCATATAGTTACTTGACCACAGACACGTTTGCAACTGGCATATCATTTGTGTAAAAGGGGAAAAAAAAGCAGCATTGAATTATTAAAAACATTGTTTAATATTTTTTGTTATATATTAATTGGTATTCACAATGTGTGTGCTAGCTACTTCTCAGCTATTCCATACCATAAATATTTAAAGCAGTCTCTTACTATAGTTGTATTAGCAGTGAGAAGCCAATATCACTGTTTCAAAAAAAAAAACACTTACTGTAGATACATAGCACCTGAAACTGCTTTTTCCTAGTGAGTCAAAACACACACTCTCTTCCTGACACATTTTAAAAATTCCGTCCTCTACCAAGAAGATTATCTAAATCTCATTACAATTAAGGTTTGCTATCACAAATCCAGATGGATTTGTTACACTTGGGAACACCGTGGCTTTAGTGGAAGCTTTTTTTTTTTCTTTTAAGGTTGTCTTGGCCAAAGTGTCCACCTATTATAATGTTCACAGCAACCTTCTGAATTCCAGAGGAGTATGCAACCAATTTCTATAAAAAATTTTGTACAAAAATAGGGAAACTTTTCCATTTTCATTTGCAAATTCTCAAATTGTTGAGTTTTTTTTTCAAGTTCTGTAGACACTGACCTTGTCATTGCTCTTCTTAAATTTTAGCAAGAAATGGGGAAGGGCATTCTGGATCTTGGCAAACATCCACTTTTACTTTTATTGATATGACAGATGTAAGAGCCCTCAAGTTTGGGGATTTAATTCACCTTAAAAGTACATATGTCTGAATTATGCAGAGTAATAAGTATAAAGCGATAGAGCCCAAATGGACTCATCTTTAATTATTTGTATTTTGCACTATTCTACCTTTTGTTCTTTGTATTACTAAGTACCAGTTATTGGGCAGTTACATAAAAGTTTGAGCTACTGACTCATAATTATACTTACATGATATTATTTGGGGAGAAAAATGTCATACTTCTTGCCATTTTCAGCTAAGCAAGTGAGATGACCACATGAAAGATGTTATTTCAGAAATTCAATGGAAAGAACATATATATATATATATATATATGTGTGTGGTATATGTATGTGATGTGTGTGTGTGTGTGTATGTGTGTGTGTGTGTGTGTGTGTGTGTGTGATCACTAAAGGAGAACATCTCTGTGAGGGACAAAGTATAAATAGAACTTATAAAGTTTGGTGATGGGAGTGATCATTAGCCTAATATGGACAGCAGGTCATCTGAGTATTATAAGCAAAATAAAGCATGAACTTCTAATCCAATTGGATTTCTTTTGTAGCTCCAGTCAGCAGTTTGCACAAGAAACTGTAGCTAGTTTGCAGATATGCCTTGTAAGCATCTCAAACCATGTGACCCAAAGCTCAGAAGAAGGCTGTGGTCATTGAGAATTTTGTGTTATATATGTACTGAGTGGATAGATTACCTGTGGAACTGTGAACTGGTAGCACTATACTAATTTGAATTGGAGGAGAAATCTGGTTATTACATAGCCTACTCACATTGATAAAGAAGGTGGGGAAGAAAACTTACTCACCAGTCTAAAGAGAAAGACAAGAGCACCTTTTTAGCACTTCAACCAGCTATTTTGGTTTTAATTTCATCATTTCCCATTTTTTCACAGAAATATTACATTTTGAGGACATTGAATATGGTGAATGACTGTGAAGTTTCCTAAGGTCTAAGCATAAACACAAGGGAATGACATTTCAGGTTGTTGATATGATATAATAAGAAGTCATCATAACTGTTCTATCCTGTACTTTCCCACATAGCATGCACATATGGAGGATATCCAGACATCCTGTAGGGTGAGGTTTCATTTACATTCATCGCCTGGTTTTACACCATCTTTCTATTTACGTATTCCACATTTTTATATAACATCTGATCATTTGATCACATGATCTCATTTGAAATGTGCTATCTCAAATAGCTTTGAATCCATGAAGAAAACAGGACGTATTGTTTTACCCCATTGGCAAAAACTGTGCTCAAACTGCCACATGAAGCATTCAGTTAGTTGCAGAAATACTCCTGGGGAAAATTGGGCTCTCTGCCTCAGAGGAAATTCACTGATTGGAAAAAGCAAAAAGAGCAGATTTCAGCAACTTCTGTCAATGAATCAAGGCAGATGTTTTTTGTTACCTCAGGAGGAAAAGAAAAGGTAAAAACTTTAAAAATGTACCTGTTGACAAAAGAAAATGTAGACTTTATTGAGTAATGGGTGGAAGTGAGGAAATGAAGTGTGAGCTAAAGATAAAACCTACTCCATAAAATTATTATCAAGATTTATCCCACTCAACATATTGTGTGCTTTCTACTTATTAAATATGTGAGTGTAATAACACTACTAAGTCACCAATAAACTTGATCTTATACTACATATAAGGTTATCTTGAAAGGGAAAGTGCATTTTAAATCTGATCTTCCAGAAGCTTCTTATGCTGCAGGAATTGGGCATTGAGATTTACAGATATATAAAACATCTTCTAGTGATTTGTCCACCTGTGTCACCCAGCATATGTGGCAAATACCCAGACTGATGGAATCTTCACAACTTTTATATCTTGGAAAATGATAAGCAACAGATGGAGAACAGCTCCTTTCCAGAAATGCTGGATAAAAGATCTATGAAAAGAGAAGGAATTAGAGCCCATATGAGTCTGTGGGCTGCTTCACTCAGCTGACACTAGCTGATAAAAATAGAATTTTTATTTCTTGGTCATTGGGACACATTGGAAGTCCTCTCTACTACATATTTTGTGCAAATATTTTATTTGAGTCTGTCCTTTTGGAAGAATTGGAAATTTGCAAGAGGTGGAATAATTGAAACCAAGAAATCTGTACTAAGTTTTATATAGTGGGGGTAGAAGGATGAAAATATTTGCATTAGTATGCCAATTTCAATTTACATTTATCTGGCCTCAATTTATTCATCCCACCATCAACTAAAGCCACTCCTAAAATCATAAGCACCCTGTTACACAGGGGTACCCAAACTCTGCACTACTGCTCTCCAGGAAATCAATGACCATACAGCATTTGCATCTGAAATTAACATGGCAACAAAACTAAGTGGATAACTACAACATTTTTTGCATACACTTATTTCACATTGTATGCTCCCAGACCACTTGATATCATCAACACTGAGACTCATGCAGTTTCTCTGTGCTGTATTCATTCTGTGTTTAGCTAGAGGAAGCATCCATGGGGAAGATAAAAAAAGAAGAGCTACACATTTATGTTTCTTGGACTCTATTCAGACCTAATTGCTTGTATTTTACACCCTTCAAGTGTTTCACATGCAATAGATATTTTATGACAATGCAAATACTCAAATGGGATTTCATTTAGCTAGCAGTGCTGCCTTCAGTGTTAGGGAAATCCAGTGATGATTTTACATTTGAAGTTACTATGAAGAGTAGAGGAGATAATAACTGCAAAGTGCTTAGCACAGTGCCTGGCACATAGTAAGTACTATATAAACGTTAGCTATTGTTATCTTTATTATTATTTACTATTTGTATATTAATAGGTAAAGGTGGGACTTGGTGTTCTAGATACACCTGAATCAAGCTTTCTGAATATTATGTCCTGCTTTTGTAGAGTAAAACTAACCAAAATATTAAGAACTACTAATGTCAGGGTGCTATACAAAATAACTTCGGTGAGGTATTTCAGTAGTGCAGGAGATATATCTTCAGAAAAGCAAAGATGATTGGTTCATTGTTTGGAATAATTTAAACTGAACAAAATGACTTTCATTCTTGCAATAAATTAGGTCAATACAGCAATCCAAAAATCAGACAAAGGAATTCTACAGATTTCCAAATACTGACAACTATGGAGGAAGGCACTGAATAACTATAGGTGTATGAGACAGGATACATGAAAAAAGACTTGATCCCTGAAATGATGCTTTGTGGCTGACATGAAAATTTAAGTGTCTCTCATCGGGGATGGTCTCTGACAAATGTTACTGGTTGCCTACATACTAGCTATTAGAAAAGAATTTACTTACACATTTCTTTGTTTCCTGAAGTTTTAGGCTCTTTCCAGGGGTGGAGGTGGAGGGAAGAAATCTATTGAAGTATATATTGGTACGAAAGTCATCAGGAAGTAAATCTGCACAGAAACTTCTATGCAAGGAAGAAATAGATCATCTCTTAACTCATCCACTCTTTCCCCTCTGATGCCTCTAAACAGACTACTGGTCAATAAGGTTAGCACTTAAAGTACCATAGCTGGGGGCATTTTATGAATTGCTACAACTGCCTCTTGAATTAAGGTTTTCCATTTCTTCCTTGAAGAAGTCTTGAGGATTGTGATTGCTGGTTACTTTTATAGATAGTAAGCAAACTACTGTGAAATAATTTTGCCCTTGAAATCTACTGAGGTTTAAAAATGTATTTGTTTTCTATTGTACACAGATACTGTATTTTGTCATTATTTTGGAGGAAGTTGAGGGGAAAAAAGAAAAATTTCAAGATCCACAAATATGAATTAAAAAAACCTAAAATGCCTTTGGTCCATGATTATCTGCTCATTCAATTCTCATTTAAATGACAGTAATCATAAAAGAAGTAATTTTTTTTTTACAAACTACATATACCCTAAGGATGGATATAAAATTATTTCTTTATAATTTACCTGTATGTGAAATGTGCTTTGCTTTAGGAAGGTAGAGTTTTAGAGTTTTCTGATACTTACTAGCTGTGTGATGTGGAATATCAGACAGCTTCTTTGAATCTCAGTTTTCTCATTTGTAAAATGAT